AGGTCCCGAAGAGGAGGAGGAGGTTGGATAGCCCTGGTGCTGGAAGGTAGGTGGAGGGTTTCCTCTCAAGTCTCCAGGTTGGTACCTTAATACCTTCCTCTGTGTTCCTGGTGCTATTGTCCCAGTGCCCTCTATGTACCTAAGAAGGGCTGCCAAAGGTTCTTCAAGGGTCAGGAGAAAGGGGTAGGTAGCAGTCATGAGCGGTGAAGACCAAAAATTATACGTTGTGAGGCTAAGCAAGGAGGCGTGGAAAGGAAAGTGAGGCTAAGAAGTGTCCCTGAGAGTAGGCACCAGTAAGAGGTCACAACCCTTGAGAGCTGGTGTTCAGCAGTGAGGTCTGAATCCCTGACTTCGTGACCAGTCTTGAGGTGAGGGTGGTGCTCCTCACCATTCAGATTTTCTCATTCTCCATGAGAGCTGAGAGTACCCCAACTTCTAGCCAAGAATCCTGTATGAGGCCCCATGGAGTGGACCTCCAGGTGTAGGATTCTTAGTCCCAATTAAAGGCTCAACTGAAATGTCACCTCCACCAAAAAGGTGTCCCTGACTTCCCCTGTCTGTCTGGGCTCCTCCTCTTGCCATCCGTAGCTCCTTGTGCTACTCCCATCGCAGTACAGTGCATTATAATAGACCATTCCCTTGTATTCCTATTAATCCATGAGTTCTTCAAGGGAGCTGTCTTTTCACCCATATCTCTAATCCTAGTACAGGGCCTGGCACAAAATGGTTGCTGAGAGAATGTAGATTGCCTGATTAAACAAATGAGCTCATTCCTTCAAGAGGAAGAGAGAGCCAGTATTCAGGCATAACCCTGAGGCTCCGTAACACGAATAAGAAGAGTGGCATCATCTGGTCTTTGACTCTGGTCAGGGCCACAATTCACAATTCCGTGCCTCAGATTAAGTTTTCTTGTCTTACCCATAGTCTGTCAGGATCTAAAGCCTGTCTAGATGTGGCTTCTGGCTTTGCTGCTTCTGTCTCGATGCTGATTGCCTGTAGTGCCACTGCCCCCTTACACCAGGGAGGCTTTGTTGAGAGAGCAGGGTATAGGCAGTCACAATGCAGGTGGGCGGGAGCCAGGATTCCACTAAAGGAGTTCTGAATTCTGTCTGGAGTAGCAGGATACATTAAAAAAACAGGAGGTGAGGCCCATAGATCAAGGCCTGCTCGGAGGACCCGGGGAGGGGGAGTCAAGTCCAAGCACTAGTGTAGGAATCAGTGCCCAGCATTCAGATGAAGAAGACTGGAGTTTGAACAGGGAGACTGGTGACTATACTTCAGATTCTGTTACAAGTGTTAGTGCTCTTAAAGTGGGACAATTGGAAGGTGGCTGTGGATTCCAGTGGGACCCTCTACTCTCTGTCTTGATTCCAAACTCCCTTCCTGTTGTGGGTGGACAAGGCCTGGCGGAGGAGGAGACATTGTTTGGGATGCCGTTTTGATTCTGTCTAATACAGTCCAGTTCCACAATCACATAATCACATTTGCATGATGACATCTTTTTATGCATAGTATGGCTCCATAAAACACACAGCTGTCTTTACAGGAACAATGTCTCCAGCCTAGCCCTTTCTCCCGAGCTTCAGACCCATATGGCCAGCTGTCTACTAGATTGTTGGGCCAGCATGTTTCATAAGCGCTTCAAATGTGTTATGCCCAATTATTCCCTCCAAACCTGGCTTTCATCCTTTGTCCTCTGTTCATCCAACACATGCCTACCAAGCATCTACCCTTTTCCAGGCATTCAGTTAATGGCACCATCATCCTACCACTTACTTATGCCGAAAACTTAGGTGGCATTCCAGGCATTTCCCTCTCTCTTATCCTATACATCCAGTGTTCCAATGGTCAGTTTCACTTTGTTAGCTTTTATTTTCTTTTCTCTTTTCTTTCTTTTTTGACAGAATCTTGCTCTGTTGCCCAGGCTGGAATGCAGTGGTACAACCTCGGCTCACTGCAACCTCCACCTCCCGGGTTCAAGCAATTCTCCTGCCTCAGCCTCCCAAGTAGCTGGCATTACAGGTGCCCATCACCATGCCTGGCTAATTTTTTGTATTTTTAGTAGAGACAGGGTTTCACCATGTTGTCCAGGCTGGTCTCGAACTCCTGGCCTCAGATGATCCACCCATCTTGGCTTCCCAAAGTGCTGGGATTACAGGTGCAAGCCACCATGCTCGGCCTGTTAGCATTTCTTGAACCTGTCTACTTCCTAAGCCCATCTACTTCTTACCTGGTTATGACCAGTGCCTCACAATGTATTCACTTGCCTTTCCATACCTCCTCTCTTAGCCTCACAACTCCAGTCTTGTCTTTCTCCGGTCTAGCCTATTGCCAGAGTGATCTTTCAGAAACAGAAATTCGCTCATGTTATTGTCCTACTTAAAACCTTCTAGTGACTCTCAGTTGCCCTCAGGATATAATTCTAGCTTTTAGCTTGGCACAGAAATGCCTACAGAATTCTGCCCTTCTAGAGCAGAGCTGGCTCTTCTCCCCCACCACTCTATGCATCAGGCATAGTGCATTGCTGTAGATTCCTGCTGTGCCTTACCCTATCATGTCTCATCTTACAGCACTCTTTACTTGGCCACCTCTTCTTACTCATCTTACAGATATCAGCTGAGAAATCATTCCTTCCAAGGCTTATTATTCCTCAAGCACTCCAGATAAGATGCCCCTTTTTTCCTGCTCATGCAGCAGTCTAGGATAACCTTGATTATAGCAATTATTAGAGTGAATTATAATTATCCTTATACTTATTGGTATCTCTCATTAGAGTGCCAAGTATTTTGGCTTTGAACCCCCACCAGCATTACCACTTCCATAGCTAGCTCAATGCCTGGCACATAGTTGGTGCTCAATAAATGTTTGTTGAATGAATAAAAACAAAGGTTACACTTGATATTTCTGTACACATCACATATACTGTTATGGACTCCCCAGGACTCAACATCCCCCCTATTAGGAGGGGACCTCAAATATAATTGTTCAGGGTTGAATGACACGAATTTCTTTATAAAACTTCCTGTTTAACAGGAAGATGAAGAAGTTCAATTTGAAGAAGAAAAAGAAATACAGTGGCCTTGAGGAGTGGGGAGTAGACAGGAGGTTCTAAGAAGGGGAATGAGAGAACTGAACACATCCTGCTTTTTTTTTTTTTTTTTTTT